ATAAATCCTCTGGCTCCTGGCTCTCGATGTATGCCGCTACTTTCGTCCGCGGGTGAAGTCTGCCAATCCTGTTCAAGCCGCTCTGCATAGGTTGCGTCTCTGTGTGGTAACGGCTTGCCGTACCACCTGCCTGGTAACCTCCCATCGCAAAAATTGCTACAGATCGCTTTTTGTTGTGCAAAAGTGTATTTTTGGAAATATTAAGTGTTAAGAAGGTGAGGCGTTTGCAGAATGGCAGCGTACAAAATTTCACTGTATATTCAATATGAACTTCCACCTGTGATCTTTTAGTGTGAATAAAAACTCTATTAAAATAAAAAGAGTAATATATTTACTTGTAATGTTTGTCATCATCTACGGTAGCATAGCATTAGGCGTTAACAGTAACCATCCCAAAATAAGACAAACCCAGACCGGCGTATGCGTATATATTTCACGTAAAACCACCACCACTGCCGACACCTACACCAGCACCACCACCGTACAGAATATTGCAGCAAAGACACGACTGGCTTCGTCGACTACTTACGTGCACATCTTTTCTCGCACAGCCACCTGGTCTCAAAATTATTGCCATTGCCTAGGCAGCCGCCGTATTTGAATTCCACACAGGCAACTAGTGTAGAATTATAGGCGAACCTTGTCATATTGGCCCGACACGGCCCCGGGTCAGTTAGCAAACCACAGATGTGTTTTAATCCTAAAATGACAAAAAAGAAAAAGTAACATAGGTTGAGGTATTAAAGGGAAAGAGACGACGCTACATTTGGCATTATATCATGTTTGGATAAAATGATATTTGGAGTGAAACGGTGGTGCACGTAGGATATTACAAATGAAAACACCTGCCTGGCTTATACAGGGCTCCTACATCGACATTTGAACACTTGTAAATGATGAACACAATCATCATCGCCGACTACTTACGTGCACATCTTTTCTCGCACTGCCTCTTGGTCCCAAAATTATTGCCATTGCCTAGGCAGCCGCCGTATTTGAATTCCACACAGGCAACTAGTGTAGAATTATAGGCGAACCTTGTCATTTAGGCCCGAAAGGGTCCTGGGTGGGTTTCCAAATGACAGATGTCGTTCGATCCTAAAATGACGAAGAAAAACAAGTAAAATAGGTTTACTTATTAGAGGGATAGTTTTGCCGATAACGTAAGTAAACATTTATTCTCGCATTGCTCCTTGGTCTCAAAGTTATTGCCAATGCCTTGGCAGCCACCGTACGC